TGGAACCCAATCATTTGGCAAGATTGGGGGAATCGAAGGGCCCATGACAGGCTAGCCACCCCTGTCAGCTTTGTAAAAGGCTAGCGATTACAAGTCTGGATCAGTGTATGCAAAACGCTGGGCTAAGACGATCACGTTGCCGCAAACCTACCTGTGTGGGGCTCAATACTTCGATTAGTGCATCCGACTAACCATGCCGAGCAAGGGCTCCACATAGCGGCTCTCGGGACTCTTGGTATCAGCTCCGTAATTACGAAAACTTTCAATACATCATAATTCATCGAATTAAATCCTGAGGGAAACGGTGGGAGGACAACCAGGCAGAGGGATCCTGATGCCGCGCTTGTGTCGCCTGGAACACTGGTATGAAATGATGACCCACCACCAAACCACCTCCTCCCTTCCTTTCACACGCCCCTGCCGCCCGCTGAGGGCTAGATCAAGTCCATCATTTCCAGGATGAGTTCATGCAGCCGCAACGCACATCACACATCTATTTCCATCTAGTCTTGTGCGCTTTAACTAACGGAGTCTGCGCATTGATCGTTTACATGATCTCTAATATATATTTGTATATTATCCCGTGCACTCATTTTTCTTTTATATGGAGCAACCTCTATAAACTGCCCCTTCCAACCAGTTCACAATCGGTTGAGTTACGGTCACTTTTGTGTCTGGAACAACGTCATAGATTCATATCCGATTGACTATGGATTTTCCTTCAAAATTTGCCCAACTACTGCCAGGAAGTAATATACCAGGTCTCCATGCCAATGGCAACTGGTTGGTATCCAATGCAAATGGGAATTGGATTGAGGCTCATCATCCATACCAAAGCGCTGCTTTCATCAACCCCGGTAGGGATTTCCTCCGCAATCCCCCATTGAGATTCCGGAACCAAGAGACGTTTACAGAGACTGATGCTCGCAAAAGATCAAGTGAATCCGTCAACCATACCCAGTTCGAACGTCTCACGACTTATGTATCCGCCAGTACACTATCCATTTTACTTCCATCCACCGCCGCCAGATAAAAATCTTGGCTTAACTCTCAATCTTGCCAACCCGCATCAATACTGTCCAATTGGCCTGCCTCTTCAGAGCACACTGATAAATGGACAACGTATTCGGCATTATGAGCAGCGGAACTCGACGCTTTATACTGGCTTCAAAAATAAAATGTCACCTGCTTCTCAGAACCGGTTTTCATGGACTTCAAGCCCTGGCGCGACTCCGAAATCAACGACCCCGCAGCCTGCCTCCGTGCAATCTTCTAAGCCGTCGCTATCGACCCTTCCAACTGGAGCTCGTGTAGCAAGATCAAATACCTGTGAGTACTGTAGCAGGAAATTCAAGAGAACTGGCGATTTGAAGCGTCATATTCGCACCCGTAAGCAACTGCCAATCATCCTGAAATCTAGCTATTCATACTGAATCGTTACCAGACACAAGGGAAAAGCCATTTATCTGCTTCTGTGGAGCAAGGTTTTTTAGAAAAGATGCACTGAACTGTCACACCCTCAGGTCACACCAGGATGGGCTCACCCTGGCAACCGGGCTGCTCAAGCCATTAGGCAAGGGTATTCTCCAGCCCCAAGATCAGGTTGACAAAATTGTTCTAGATAGCGCCCGAAATCGCGATTCTCAGGCTGATGCTAAGCCGTCTTATCGTGTCATCTCAGTTGAGCCGGAGTTGACACAGGAACAATCCGTGGCTGACTTCAAAGATCCATTCTGCATAGAATGGCAATTGTGGTCTTTGCAGGGGTTACCACAGTAAGTAGCCTTGCTTTTTCCAAATTGAAACCTCGTTAATGAAGAGTAGGAGCGACATATTTACTCATCGTGTGAGGCTGACAAATGGTATATTTGTTGAGACTGAAAGAGCGATGCATCCATGGCTATGGCAACCCTGCGTGGCAGACAGCCTGAAAAAGAACCCAGCTCTTGGGCAACCAAGGGCAGTCATTCAAGAAAGGTATGTCCCCAACCTACAGCCTCGGAGGTCATTTACTAACTGCGCAACTGCCAGTTCTGCTGCTCATTGCTGCGTGTAGGTAAGCATTATACACACTTCTTGTGCGGTTTTAATAAAGTAAAGGGCATTTTCAATACGAGCAGCAACAACACTGGTATCAACAATACGTGTACCAACGTGGCGTGACATTAAAGCACCAGTCAAGATTGAAGCCAATTTTTCAAAATGGATTCCAATTGCGATCAAAAATGACTATTCAACTTCAGGGCCTCAACCGGTGGTTGCATCTCATTCGAACGCGTCTCCGTCGACGGCCAAAACAGACACGCCAAATAACTCTGCGACTGTTCACTTTGGTGGCGGGAGTGTCCACAAAGCATATCCATTCACAAGGCAACCTTAGTTCCGACTTACGAAGGCGATGATATTGTCCGACCAAGCCATACCCTGGACTGGTCATAGATTGAGCAGATTTCTGGGAATGACCGTCCATTTGTCATAGAGAGCTTCGTTGTCTTCGAGCAAGCGGTATAGCTTGCATGGGCCTTTTCTATACGAAACAGTATTTGCGACTCTGAGTGACCAGGCATGCACAAGTGACTTCAGAGCATCGAGGTACACAGCTCCAGCTATACCACAGGATTATGGTATGTTGGCCAGCCACATTCAATTGTTTCTCAAGTCACTAATTACAGAAGAACAAAGGCATACCCTCTTGGTGTCATTCCAGAGCGGCTGCACTGAACAGCTTCAAGGAGGTTTAGCAGACCTGGAGATGTTACCAATAGATAAATGGAGACCCGGCCTTTGTTTGTGGCTAAGAAAGCTTGGGGCTTTCCATCTGCGCAAGCTGAAAGGTGTGCTATCCTCTTAACCTGCGCGTGAATGTCATTGGCACCTAGCAGAATTCATCTCGCATATTCCTAATCTATAATATCAACCAACAGCAATGGAAGATTTTTTGTCAGCGTTTGGCCCTAGCTCATGAGTAGTAGCGCAAAGCCGTTTACAGCTTCATCTATCTGGGAGTCTTTCGTCGTAACAAAGGCTGCCATCAAACGATAGCTCTTGTTTGTGCAGATTGAGCGAATTCCTGCGTCTTGTTGTTCCAGAGGGTCCACTGCTCGAGAACCGCATTTTTGACACATAGGCACTAAGGGGCGCAGAAGACCTATCGGTGTACCCAATGTAAATACATTTGTACCATCCCTGAGCTTTGCTTGACGCCTGGTGGGAGGCCTGAGGCCACCCACTCGAAGCTATTGTTTGGAATAGGGTTTTTCTATTTCTAGCTTTCCGATTGTATCCAAAGCAACAATTCTGGTTCAATTTTTCGCGGCGTAGGGAGATTGGAATGCGAGAGAAGATCGGGATTTATCACGGGGCTAAATCTAGCAAAGTGCTCCAGATTGGCAAATTAACCTTGCTTTCAGCGTAAGAATTGATTTATTCTTGTCACCCATCCCGATTCTCAAATACAAAAATGTTCGTAGAATAGAACATTTCTAACCCTAAATATTGCCTTCTGAACACTCCAATGAAAACCCAGGTGGTTCGATTCATATCAGCGGTCCCTACAGAAGAACGCAATGAAACTTTCTGGATCCATATTACCGTTGAAAAGCTTGGTGTTCTTTCTCACGGAACCACCCTGGATCCTATGCGTTCAGTCTTCGCAAGTTCCGTTGCTATTGGTAACGTCACCGTTAAATACCTGCGAGCTAGCGTCGATTTGTATGGGCTTGCTAGAGCCGTCTGTGGCTGCACATTGGTTAGCTGCCATATGAGGCAAGTGCGTAGCTAAATCAGAAGGTAGCGCGAATGCTGGTGGTACCTCAATTTACTGGCTGTTCGACGTTGTTCCGATCAATGCTTGGCGATGAATGCTGATTGAAAACCACAAAGTAAGTTAGAATTCAGTAATTAGATAAGGAAGGAACATACTGTATGCTCCGCAAAGAGCACCATCCCAGCTGTTTCCTGATAGGATGTGGCGGACGGTGTACGACCGTCGTCACCAGGTGTTTGCGGGTTTCTTCTGATCACACTGGGGAATCAAACTGGCAGCGGATAAAAGTAGACCGGGCTTTGTCTTGTTCTGTGAGTTGGTGCAGAAACTGGGAGTGGACGGAGAACTTCCTGCTATATGGCGGACTCTAGCCCCTGGTAAATACGAGGTATGCCGTAAAATTCCTGCAAGTTTTATTTAATAGCTGGAAATGGCTGCGTAGTTAATGCCCGAAGTGACCAGTGAAATGTCTCGGCCGGTGGACCCAACAGTATATGCGAAGGGAAGGTTCAGACCACGGACTTTGTCGGCTACCTCGGACCCCTTGGTTGAAAGCAGTCTTTGGGGGCCCATCTATATTCTGAGTGGGAATAGTACTAACAATTACCGCATGGATTACCCCCACTAGTGTCGTGCTATCAGGCAGGGGGTAGAACCGGTTCGAGGACAGAGCGGCCCTCTCTGTTTACCACACACAGTCTTCGTACAGGGTAACATTCCCATTCTTCTTGTGAAACCAAGCCTCGAGTTACTCCAGGTAACTGACCTTTCCTTGGCACTGGGGCGGCTTCAGCCACGACAAAGGCCCTAGTATGCTGGCGTGGCCAATAGGGACCAACTCGCTGGTGGATCGCATCATTTGATCTGCTACTTGGACAAACAGAAGGTTTGTACCAAGAATTTGGATTCTGTCTCTGCAATTCCGGTTATCTATCTGGGCAAGAGCAGACTACGGTGTCTCCCGCCGGGTCCACTGTGATCTGTACCTTAAATGTGTGCCTGTCCTCCATAGACAGCTTCTCTCACTAGCTTTGCCCAGGAAGAAAGGTCTTTTACGCATCTCGCGGGAGTGTCCCACATGCTTTGGCGGCTTCGTCTCTCACCTCACTCTGTACGCCATTACTCGTCTGTTCGTTATAATTCTTCATTCGATTAACAATCCCAACGACGCGCTGCGTTCCCTCTCAAGGAGACATCGTTCTGACTGGTGCCATCCCTGGAAAACTCAGAAACCATGGACTCGGAAACATTTCGGTCTCCGGACGACATTTTTGAGCATTCATGGGTTGTTGCAATGAAACCACCGAACCTCGACACCTGGATGCCTACGGAAGCGGATTATATGTACGGTATGCAATTACCGCCGCCATATGGAACGATGCCCCGCCCGATGAATTACTTGGTACCACCACAACTGCAGCCCCCCATCACAATAAGTTCGTCTAGCACCTACGAATCGTGTCATTCCCCGAATCGAGCACCGGTCTCGAGCCTACCCTCATCGCTGGCACAGGCGTCTTGCTCTCGCAAGAGCCCTGCTGCCAAATCAACACCTCATAGGCTGCTTACCGACGAATACCGACAAAGGATATGTTTATACCATGAACAAAACAATGCAGCAACACATGCTGAAATTGGAGGTAAGTATGTTATACTTGCGTTATTGCAACATGTTGACACGGATAATTGGATAGCCTTATTCGGAGTGGAAAGAAGGTAAGCTAAGAATATTTGTCCAACCCTTTTGTACCCCAACGTACTCTGACATGAAGCTTTAGCACTGTTACAAAGATATTGCGCCGGAAAGGGATATATCTCGCCATCAGCAACCGGGGCCCGTCTCCAGAAAACCGAACTAAGCGCCGTGTTCCTGACCTTAAAACGGCGCTTTCGAACTTGGTAAAGGAATACCGAAGAAGCAAAACTCCAATAAATGACGAGATACTCATGAATAAGGCGCGTGCATTTTATGACGCCTGCAGTCTTACTGAAGGCAGCGGAGTATTGGACAAGGACTGGCTGGAGATATTTAAGCGGGAAAACAAGATGCTATTTGCCCAAGATCAACCTTGCACAAAGACTGGCGAAGCGATGCGGATCCAGCAGCAATGCATCAACTGGAATATTGCAATCAAAAACATGGACGATGTTTCTCCAATCAGTGTCCGTGAACCTCCTTCGGCTGAACAGGCACGACATGCCATGAAGCTCGTAATGGACTATTGCGAAACGACCGGGCAAGTGTCTCCCCAGGAACGTGTTAGCATCAGCATAGTTATGGAACGTCTCGAAAACGACCACAGGTTGTTCGGCTTGAGGAATAACTGGCATGCTCAACCCTTGGGTGAGGTTTCCCATGGTGTCGACGGTACGCTTCCTACCACTTTGTTTTAGAGTATCATTTGCGGTGGCTGTTCTTTTCATAGATGTAAGCCTTGCTCAGGTTTCTTTTCCAGATCAATAGCGCTGCTCTTGACTTAAACGAACATTTCAACTCCTCGTCCGCGCAACCTGAAGCCTCAGAAATAACAGTACCCCATAAGATATAATGACAGATTGACTCTATTTCGTAATATATCCATTGAGCACAAAGCATACTCGATTCTCACACATGCCCGTACAGAACTCTCGGTCCATGACTATTATCTTCAGCGATGGCGACATTGTTATATATAGAACTTGTTATCGTAGGCTTTGCACGACCTGCAGTGGTGGTAGGGTTATATACAAGCATCTATTCGGGACTTAATCATAGTGCTGCGCTGTGCGATGTATTCCCTGTGGGGCGACCTCGGATATCGGTTGGCGTTTCGGGGATCTGCTGGTCGAGAGGTGGTTAGTGATAGTCGTTTTGGGGAGGATAATTCGGAGTTGGTAGAGAACAATGAGAGACCGCGTTTATCAGTTGTAATTTTGGCCACAGGGTGCTAGCTTTGGAGTTGCCATGGCCTCATTCCCGCCTCTTGGGCGATACATCAAAGCACAATAGTCGCAAGTAGGACGACTTTGGAAGGTGGGTAGATTTAACACACCAGAAGCTCTTTCAATGTACTAGGACTTGGATTGAAAGTCAGACGAAGCTCAGCTCGAAATGAAGCGTGGGCGAGTAGGGGAGACTGGAGTGAGGAAAAGCGTGGAATCCGACCCGCTCTCCCTCGACTAGCCACTCGGACACTGGATTTGGCTACAGTCATCCATGAAATGGGATAGCCCGTAAATTCCTGCCTGGGCCCCTGGGTACCGTTTCTATCATTGATATTAGAATACTTCTTCAAAATATGCTCGAATAACTTTATGACTGAAATCTGAACTTGAATGGCCTTAGCTTGCCCAGCAAGTAACTACAGAACGTTTAACGAATATCAAATTCGCTATACCAGATGGAAAGTAGTAACTTGAACAGAGTCGATTATTGTTTAATAGAGGCCAGTTCCGGTCAAAAAACTAGAAGAACATACATCGACGCGGTGCTTTTCTTTCAAGAGAGGCTTTCATTCCTCGGTAGATATATGCGGAAGGGAAACGTCAAAGTCTTGTGTCCAGCTCATCGTGGAGGAGTGCGTATATGTTTGCTGGAAACGTGCAGCAAGAACACTCAGAAGTTTGAACATCTCTCTCAGGCTGCATGAGTTCTCTTTGAACAGTTGTTGAATGGGGCCTGCTATGAATGAAAAGCCGGGCGTATCAGGCAGGGGCATGTTGTTTTCCCCGTCAGGTTGAAAGACCATGAGACATTGGGCAAGGGTTTGATGAGCAAATGGACTTAGTGTCCGAAGATGCTGTTAAGACTTAGTCAGCTGGCCTGGGAATATGCAGGTATATTGTCCTGAGGACCTTGGATCACTAACCTCCTCTACCATTGAATAAACGGTGATTTCCTTCGGGTAGGCCCGCATATGCTTCAGGAAAAGAGCCCCAAGTGCCCTGTGTTGCTGAAGAAACCATTCTACTGATGGTGCTTCATACCCAAGGGCGGCGCGAACAATGTCTTCGAAAGCTATCTGTCTAAATTGGAAGTGACTTTCCGCTTCGATTTCCAGGGCGATTCTTTGAGCGCTTGATAAATCTCCTTGTGCAGAGGGAAACCAGCTCCACGAAGTCAACTGAGGAGGGGCAGTATCAATCGACGTAGGATTTCTCTCACTTTCTCGCAATTCGACTGTTCAGAAAGGTAGGGCTCATGCGGGTTTGATAAAGCAGTGATGAAAGAATTGAGTACACTCGGAGGGCGACTCTCCAGTATGTACTTCACAGATTTCATATCGCGAAAGAAACCGAAGCGGAATCCCTGAAGGATGGGCTTGAGGGCATAAGCCCGCAGCGTGACGATTGCATCTTCTTCCCACCATCGATCCCGCACAGAGAATTGAGGGATCTCCAACTTTGACAGGAAGATATCGGGAGATGCTTCCATCAAAGTAGGAGCATGACTGGGAAGCACCATACTGGATCAACTCGGGAAACACAACTATCGTTTTATCGAGGAATGGGAATGAATACAAGTTTGAAGCCACCTTGAGACATAGTGTATATCCGTCTTTATCTTACCGCTAGTATTACCGTGTGTATGCAAAGAGCGGTCACCCCTCCATGTTCTGGCATTGCGAACTTGGTTGTGGTGGGGCCGGAATGAGGGCTGGGTTATGCGGGTGTGATTGGGTTACTGCCTACGCGCCAGACAGCACCGCTACCAGCAGCAAGTGGTGATCCTGACGCGCTTTGACTGCTGCAAATGAGGTACCGTTGGGAGACTTGGAAGACCAATCCATACGCTAAGGCCGTGGGTGGCAACTCTTAGCTCACCTTTCTTACATGTACACGGACTAAACAGGAACCTTATTTATTTTCCAAGTCTAGCAACGCCACATCTCTTAGATCTATGAAGCACAAGCTCCCCCTATAATGGCCCAGCCTAATTTTCGGCTGCTGTCCCCAATAGTTTCGCAACCAGTGCGATTACTCTTAAACACAAAACTACTAGGCATGAGAGACATGTGAGAGAGTCGTTCTCAGCGAGGCTCACGAGAAGGCTTTTATGCTAATTGATCAAGGCCGTCATGAAGCACCTGGAGTCAGAGTCTCAGTCTGTGAGACAGCAAACATGGTAGTGTGGCAGAGCTGTACATAAAAGGTCTCGAGTAACATCCCATCAGCTGGGTTACAGCAGCAAGTTGTAACTGAGACAGACAGGCAGTGTGGCATATCTCAACACACTGCCCATGAATTTCTGATTGAGCCTTCGATTAACATTATAATCACAGAGCATCACGTAGAGTATTTCCGAGGGGCAGATCCATCCATTGTTGTGTGGGTTTCCACCTTTGCAACACAACGACTGAACGCACCCGCTTTCCTAGCTCCGAAACAAGCATGACGTTCTATCAGAGACCTTTCCGCTGAATTATAGCCAGGCGATCTCTTGGTAGAAACTAGGAAACTTGAAACCCCGCCTTTGGCGCTGGGAAGCCCCAGTTTGTATTGTATTTTGCTGTATGCGAAAAGGAGACCCGATGGTCTAGAGGACAATTCTTGAGCGCGTATGCACGGGCATTCTGTCTAGGAGATTTCTGACGGTGCTTGGATTCGACTCGTTGAGACAAGGAACTGCGGATGACATGGAGTTATTAGCTCTAGAATAAAATGCTAGATTGGGATCACTGACAAAAATAACTGTAAAGGAACGGGGAAGCCCTCACGGGCATTCTTGAACTCTCATCGGGGCGCCTTAAGGGAGGGACACTAGAGTGGTTTGTTTCCGAATGTGACTGGACTGTCCGAAAGTATACTGTGTCCCGACTGACTCTGGAATTAATCAGCTCGCTGTTCAATGCATACGAAATTTACTGCGGATCAAAGGAAGAAAGAAGGCTGGGTGAAAGGAAAACGGTTGGAAAGGAAACATGAGCTCACTCCCGAGTGATTACTGACATCTTTTTACCTAGAGACTTTGCTTTGAGCTCTGCTCAGGTCCTGCTCATACGAGTGCCCCTAATTAGGCCTCTCCTGGGTAGGGTAACTCGGAAGAATTCTGGTCGATCAACAGAAGCAGGGTGAATCGAAATTCAGGGTTTTGGTTTGCCTATCGATTCCATTGAAGAATGGTCAAATATGAGGCTGGGGTGGGAAAGCCCCTCAAGAAGAAGACTTCACGAGTTGCGTGGACGAAATGAGTTGTGGGAAGCAGGTCTGGGCAAAGGGAGGGAAAGTACTGCGGGCTTGCTGCTTTAGGCGAAATAGATTTCGGTTCATCTATTGCCATCAGTTTTAGGCGCACTCTTCCCCGGATTACCTCGTCTAGCTTTGAAGTCTGTGACTGACACCACAACTAATACATTTTAATGCCTTTTGATTTCTCTTCGTTATTGCACTGGACGGTTTCATTTCAAGCCAGAGGAGGGGCGTCAGCGCGTTACTTGAGCCCATCAGGGTACGAGTTGTTCCACCAGCACTTCAACTTCTAGGTATGGGGCTTGAACGCAATAACAGACGATTGACATGCCGTCCTAAGTGTGTGTCAAGTTAGCTAATCTCCATCATGACAGCTTCGACCTACCAGTCCACTTCAGTCATCGGTCAATCGAGAGTGCCAACATCCCACCATATTCGACGAAAATGAGCCTACCTGCGCACGATCACAGATGTTTCTATGAACAAGGCTGTCCCCAACAGACATCTCGGCTTGGATATGATGACCATCCGACTAAAGCAACTCGAATGAGCCAGCGACCGTGGTACAGCACAGGGTCTCAAACCATCGGGCGATTATACCTGCATGCCTCCGAGTGCAACAGCTCCACGAATCCTGATGAGAGAAACATCGAAACGCATACCTTTAATTATAGCACCCTTGTGCTCGGAAGTGCGTTGAGACAGCTCTCACTATAGTCCGGGCAGTAGACAATGGTCGACCGTTACTACGTGTCGAATATACTGGGTCCACAATGCTCTGCACTTAAACTCTTGCAGCTTGGGACACAAGGAGTCATGATTGCGATCATGAACATACAACGTGACTGACAGAGCTCGTACTTACAACCTTTCCTCGGCCTGCACTGGGGTTACGTATGTAAGCGCACATGCATTTCCACGCTTGAGCCTCGAAATGCTAACAGAAGTGCTCCTCTAGTTCCCAACGACGGCTGCACGAAATGCGTGTGATAATCGCATCATCGCAAACGAGCCCACCACTTTAGATCCTGCAAGCCGCCTTCACGAGGAATAAGTCACCTCTGCCTTTTCCGCCTCGCCGCTTCTTCGTCGCCTCACGGTTTCTGATACAGGACTGGTCGATAGCATGAGATATAAAATTATTGCAATTGAATGGCGTGCCCTACATAAACTATTGCACTTGTGATGTGTGCTCTTCTCATTGCTTTCTTAAAGCATTGGCAGCAGAAAGAGGCATAATAGTCTTTCAGCACTTCTAGTCCTCCTGAGTTATTAGGAAGATATAACATAGTGAGTTCTTAACAGTGCCGCTCTGCCCAACGAAGATGCTACATTCGCTGAGAAACTATGAAAGAGAGACCAGAATGCTCCTGAAAGACTATAGAACACGTCTTTGACCTCAACACGCACTCAGACTGTATTCCAGGTTCCTTCCGCCTGACACTGTTGTTACCGCGGGACGGCATCCTTCTTTGACAATGGATACTCGAGGCTGCCGTTACTCCAGGGTTGCAAACAGAATCAGAACGTATTTGGATGTTGCGTACCGTTGCCAGCTTCTCTACCTCGGACGTAGGGATCAACTCGCCGTGACTGTATCTCATATCAAAAAGCGATGATCGGACCTTCGAGGGTGTGGTCCCCATAGCTCGATTGGTAACTCTCACAGACCATCATGCCATTGAAGTGTCTCAATGCAGAGATTCGATCACAGACTCGCTGAGCAAGAAACCCAGTATGGGAAGAAATATTCGACCATGACCCGTTTGTGCGTCTTTAGGGCGGCATCAAGTGCAACAATGCAGTGAAACGGAAGGGTGCCGTACTTTCGTCGCTCATGTACGGATGCAATGCTTTTCCGGACAATCAAAGGCCCCAAATCAGGAAATACAAATATTTGGTAAAAACCGAGCACCGTACAATCCGGCGCGGTGGCTGCTTCACCTACGTCAAGAGGAGCGGTTGATAGAATCGAGGCGGCATCAAGCAAGGTGGATACATTCCTTCCGTTGTGGTAGCGGAACGGATTTGTTCGCACCACTGAAGTGGGAGACGTCGACCGCTCATGTCAGGTTGAGCTGGAAAGGCAAACAGCTTAGGAATTTTCGGCTGAGCTGTGCCTAGCTCACAGATCCAAGCATCTACATCGGTATCATCGAAACATTGACAGCCCATATCCGTGAGTTCCCAAACACCAATCACACCAGTGTGGGAATCAACGCAGTACCCATACCAAAATCCCCTAGGGTCATCTCGAAAAGATTCTCCAATAGCTGCTGTCGTATTTGCCACAAAAACCACATCAAACTCATCGGGCTTGCATTGAAGAACTGGAGAACTCGGAGTCGCACGTCGTCTGTCCGCTCTGTACATAGCTGTAATGATACAGACATGGAATGGGGATTTCCAAAGAGACTGGATAGTATACCATCCAAGAATGATTCGATAAACGACTTGGCCCGGAGCGTTGTTCCGGCGTGGTCCAGATAAGTTATTCCTGCAACCCCTGAAAGAGGGTAGTCAGTATAGATGAATCAAGTAATATCAAATGCTAGGCCATACCATTAAGAAGAGGATACCACTGTTCACGGATGGCATCCGTATCCGCAAAGTATCCCTGGCCATATCGGAAATGGACGAATTCTTCGTCAATGCTCTCCATCATAAAGTGGGTGGACGGAATCGAAGAATGCAGCATGTTCCTTTGCGAAAATACTGTGCCTTTGCGGAGTTGAAGACTCAAGTTCTGATTGTTTCAATGAGTGAGATATAACTGGCGTAGAGTCTTCGCGGCAGACATTTATAGCTGGAATAGATGAAAGGCGAAACAGTTCTTTTCCATTCCGTGAAGCGCGTCGTAAAGCGCGATATCTGGAGCAATCTCGTGTAGTCGGGCAGTTGCTGCGTCCTTCGCCTGGCGACTGCTAGTTGAAGATGGGGCTTCTTTTCCTTGCCCTCAGACATGATACGAGACCGTGTAGGCGTCTGTATGGGCCGACGTGATTTGCCAGTAGTCTGCGGGGTGCCATGTGAAGCATCTGAGCGTCGATAATCTTCCGCTTTTTCTCAAGGGCAGCCTGCACTGAAACCATGTTCTGGTCCTTGCTTTGGATTGCGTGCCGTGGACTTTGGGTGGTGTCCTGGGATGAGAAAAACATTCGCTCAAGAACATTGCGGTCAAGTTGCGTCTAGCCAGCAACTTCTCCAAGATTGGTTCGCAGAGGGAAGTGGCTATAGCGCGCGTCTGAAGCGGGTTGCAGCTTCCATTTAGCATAGCTGTCTTCCAGCCACAAGTGATTGACGACTTCAAGACCCCGTTTTTTTGCGGCGTTGCACTTCTCGCTCGTTCCATAGGCAGTAATCAAATGGGTGTTCTCCTGCTTCAAAGTTTTTGTACATTCCGCACCTTAGGCTGCAATCAAGTCTTCCAGGTAGATTCTTCCTTCACCAACATAATCGGACAGACTGATCTTCAGTCCTTGGAATCCGGGATTACCCGTACGAGATACGGGGTAGTGCAGGAGTCGCCTGAGAGGTGATGTTCATGTGTTAAATGTCACGAGCCGGTAAAGCCAGGCGAGGTTTCCAACGTTTATGTTAAGCCGCGACGCCGTTCGGTAGGCAAAGCCTTCTCGGTAACGGCAGATCAGCATATCTGCAGTATCAATCTTTGATGTCACTTCAGCTCCGCCGTGCTTCAGAACAGCTTCAATAGACTCCTGTGGATGCGAACCATTCCAAGATCCGGAGATAGCATAATGGTTTTGCCCTCGAAAACACTCCGCTGACCGGTTGTATGTGCCGAGATGGATGGCGTTGGCAGCATGGTTGGATTAGTCATCGATGCGCCGACCAAGTTTCAGACAATCATCGAACCTATCGAGGTTCAAATTAGCAAGGTTCGTTGAAAGCCACAGCAACAGCAACACTCACCAATGCGGTAGAACAATCTTCACATTTAATTTCTTGGCCTGGGCCATGCGCGCCTTGTCCGAATCGGCCGTGAGATCCACCAAGTGAGTGACCATGTGAGAGGTTCGCGGACTGTATAGTCCACGCTTCGCCACCACACCGCCGATTATCGCATCCTTATCCTTCGCAGGTATGTCGCCGCAGGTAACCACCACGTCGTTCATAAAGAGACGAGGATCGGGGCTGTATTGACGAGGATTGGCCAGCTTACTCTTTGCCAGTGAGTTGCTGACCCATTGTCCCTTCACTACGGGGAGTAGTATCATAGGCCTCAAAATCAATCGTGTTGGAGATCAAATGGCTGAACCTAGCCACATTAGGGACCTCGGCCCCAGGCTGGACAATCAAAGACTCGCCGCCATGCTCTTCAAGTGTTGTCGCAAGCTAACGAGTCATGTTAGTTGAGTGCATCATGCGCGAGTGATAGGCCAACACATACCTGCTCCACGTATTCTCGGGAGAGATTTTTAGAGCATAAAATGCCGAGGCAATACTGGTCGAAGAGCCGAGGTTGTTGGACTTCAGTTGTCATGGCCACAGCAGGCGCGTTGTTGTGGGGTGTAAGGGATAATGTGTGGCTAGGCAGTTGTGTTTATCGAGGGCAATCGGCGATTGGGGACGCGTCGCGCACGCGTGGTAAAACGCCCGGTCACGTGAGCATTTGCGGGATCCCACTTTAGAGTAGAGGGTGAAGAACTGATATACGTATTCATTGAGATATGTGATGTTGTTTCCTTGTGATTCTGTATCATAAGTGTCACCTAAGAGAAACTACTGTAGCCATGTTGCTGTGTACACCTGAATAAACTGTGGGGAACATCACCATCAACAACCAACTCCTTGACCTAGAAATTATTGATACTATGCTCGAAATACAATAACTAACTAGCCTTTTATTTTGCATTTTTAGCTATATTACCAATAGCTCTATGCGCTTCTCCCTGCTGACACTCTACTACACCATTTATTTATACCAACCTATACTTCTAGGTACAAGGAATTTCCATCTGTGTTGCATTTTCTTTCCCTAAATCTGACGCTACAGTCAACTAAGAGATACATTGCTAGGAGCTTCTATTAGACTTGACCAATTACCACGCTGTTGGCAATACCAATGTGTACATATCTCAGTGAAATGGCAACAGATCCGTCAAGCCAACCAACTTATGTACATTGTTTACAGTTACCGGAGCTCGCCTTGACTTTCCCAGCATCATGAAAGACAGCATCATTGTGCGTAGGGCTTCGTATTTCTATTACTATACAAATGAGCTGACCGGTGGCTTGGAAGAATGCGCCGTGTAGTAAAGCCGCACCAAGCCTGATCCGCCGTTAGTTCTTCTAGTCTCCCCGGGCCTTCTGCAATCATGGCTGGAGAAGTGCCAAATTATAGGGCATTAGGTCCACAGGTGTTCCACTGTAAAGAATAACTTAAAAGAATCTCAAGGATCTCTTATCTCGGAACCTCTCCAGGGTGCTCTCCAGCCCTAGAGTAACAACGAGACCACTCGACTTCGATGGCAGAAGACTGTCAATTGGTATCAACGCTGAAAATAGGAAAGGAAAAGGGAAAATAAAAGCGAACTGATACAGGAACTTTGCGCTCCCATTATTCAAGATAACATAATCATCTCTGTTTATTGCTTGGTTTCCACGGTACATTAATTGCTTGTGCAGAAATTGCCGACGCCTTCTCCTTTCAATTGTAACAACATTCTTTTGGGGCACTTTCAGTGGACGAGGCTTTCTCGTCTGGAAAATTGGTGTCCGTGTGTTTGGGGTATTCGCCCGCCGGTCAAACTCAGCTTGAGGCAATTTACGCCAGGCAGAGCTCTCAGCAGGACACGAAACCACTCCTACACTCGCCCCTACTCAAGCGTGGGCTCACCAACGCCCTTTCGAACCCGATTGAGTACCTCCCGATGAGCAAATCTCAGCTTAGATCTCGCATAAGTCTCCTACTTAGATGTTTTACCTCAGAGGTGGGGCTTCGCCTTCGTGAGGAGATACCAATGAATTAGCTGAAAGCACCCCGATCCCCGATACGCTCGATCTCGAAGACCTCAATACTCCACTACATGCCTTACTCCATACACGCCCTTGTCAATACACGAGCCAGATTTCAGCTGCGATTTACCGGACCGTGCTGATCCTTCAACCACCATGAGCCGTTGCGGGTATCAATCGATCTGTTTACCACAACTGAACCCTTCCGAACCTCGCCCTGGAGGCAAATAAGCAAAGCGCGGTCCCGTTGGAGGCAAATTGGCAGATGCAACTAAGAGGCATATTCTGAAACTGTGGCAGTTGTCTGAAAGGCGTAGTCAGGCAGACGTGGCATAGCAGGCGAGTGTTTTACGAAGAATGTCGAGCGCCTTGCATCTGACATGGGTGTTCCGGAATTCTTCAAACAAGTTTGGAATTTTTAACGTCCTTAGGAAGTGGCCTTTCTGAATACCAAACCCACATTTCAATGGCTAGGACATAGAATATAACCCTTACTATGTATGACAATATCATTGCTACTCTGGCAAATTGCATAGTAACGACTCCAAATTTGACTATGCTGCAGGACATTGCACACTAGATCACAGTACCAAAAATATAACATGTCACGTCAAAGAACCTACTCTGTGCCCGTGACTACCAAATGTATTGGGTCTCGATCTCCTTCCGACATAAATATACGCGCCAAGTAAGCCGAATCGTCATATATATTGGGAGAATGATAGGGTGCAAAGTATAGTAGACCATCGGCGTACCTTCGTCGCGATATCGAACGGCTTCATCACGCTTACATTGGCAACAGGACAATGAATATCCGGTCCAAGCCAATGATTTTGGCTTTAGAATTGGTGTTTTATTGAGTATAGCTATAGAGCACACCGTCATGTTGGAAAGAAGGCAGGCGGTCGTAGATTAGCTGCAGCTGCATGATATTGCTGCAATTCGTCAGGTTGGGTGCCTTGTCCCGATATCTACCACATCAAGTACCTATGTTATGTAATGTGATTCGGTCCAGCGGTAGAGTATCAGGTATTCACCGGGGTTGATATAACCATTGTATTTGGTTGCCGAGCGTCCTTTGGCGCCCAGCGAATTTTCAATCATTATTCTTAGACGTTTAGGGGCAGCGAAAAAAAGCGTAATTGCTGTGTTATGAATTCCCAAGTCAATAGAGCGACTGGTAAGTTGTATGGTGGTTGTGGATAGCGACTGTACCGTGTCCGACGCCACTTGAACGAATGCAAAGCGGGCTGGAAGATTCGTAAGCGTGGGATTTGGCCATCACAGGGTTATTGCCGTTGCTCGGATATATAGCTTGCATTCTGGTAGGTGTGATTGATTCGATCGCTGATGCGGTTCGCACCGCATGTATCTAGGTGATAGCGAGCTCTCGCTCTTCGTGGATCAGTGGCGTCGCAGACATCTCACTGGCACGAGATTTTGTCATTTGCAAGCTTCGAGCTCATGGTGCTTGTTCTCATTGTATTCAAGGAATGTGTTTGGTATCGGGTTCGACTTGCCTAGTAATCGCTATGTCGGACAGTATTGTTGACCTCTGCGCGTAGAAAACCGAGCATTTCCTGATCTATAGCTTCGTCAAACGCAAAACGCCGAGTTAGCTCAGCAGTGAGATTGGATTCGCAAATGTATTCACCTCAGGTTTCTTGTGACTTCTATCTCATCCCGGCCCCTGGCCATCACGCGTGCAGATTGTGAGGCCGTTAACAACGCAGTTTTGGAGTTCGATCCCTACTTGTGTGGTGATTTGAGTGCACAGATGCTCTTTCCGGCGAAGGTACTGCCCTAAAGGATGAGGAGGGTGGTGCGCAGGCGCGGGGTCAAGACCAGGCTGGCCAAACGGTGAGGCGAGGAGGAAGATGACAGGCCTAGGATTGTTGGGTGTGATCTATATCGAATGATCCGGCATTTGTTTGCTGGGGATGGGTCCAGCATTCCTTCATATAACTGGTGAGCTCCCTCCCCCGAAGATGAAGAATGTGGTGTGAATTAACTGACTAACATCAACAGTCACACCGGAGCTCGAAGACCGGTAGAGGTTATCAAGCAAATTATCCTCCCAGATAGATTGACAAAAAGGGGGTTTCCTTTGCCAGACATCAGAATGGTGGATACTAGTCCCAGGGGGAAACTTCGAATTTAAAGATGTCGAAAGTGCGTCGAACACCCTCGAAACGAGTTCAAAAGGTCAAAAGGTTCTAGAGAGGACGGTGGTTCTTAGCGGGTCTGTAGGACGAGATACGAGATTGTGGTGTTCAGCTAACATTCGCTTGCTTCATGTACAAGGGCATTCATAACCTGATGGACGAGGGGCGTAGAAGGATGATAAACCGACATGGAATTGGGACTAACTAATGTTAGTTCACTAGCTTACGGTCCAGTGTCAAAAATTTTATTGTATCCGACCAATTGAGATAAGCCGTTTTTGACCTGCGGAGGTAGTCCATCGGTGCAATACCACGGGAAACAAATGTCGGAGTGATTGACATCTAGACTAAGTATTGAGAATAGCTAAGTAGTACGACAAAAAACCTAGGGGCCGAAGGTGCTACTTACAATATGAACGTGGGTTGATACCCAGGTGTAATAAAATACAGACGACTTCGATGTTGGATTACCAACGGAATAGGGACTACTGTAAGCCCCATTTGATGGACTCTTCTTAATTTAAGACAGTAGAAAGTGGGGTATGGTCTTACGGGTCCTACCACTACCAATAATTTGAGGGAGACTGCTATCATGAAAGCCCTCGGAGCTAGCTGAAGTGCGAGTGTTTAGCTGAAAAAAAGCCATCAATACAATGCAAAAGCACTAAGCAACGTAAATGATCATTGATGGAAATTGAATTCAGAGTAACAGTACTGAGACTTGAGCCCTAGGTGTAATGCGTCTTGGGTTATGGAGCACGGGAACTTCAGAAAGCTCTTATGCGGCAGTTATTCATTCGACTCTCGCACATCCGACGAGTGTGGAAATAACCAGCAGAAGTAGGCCCATCTAAAGCACCCTATCGAAGCTCATAATTCTGGAAGTCACAATTCCCATCGTCCCTGCCCAAGGCCAGGAAAAGACAGCAACTACCGCATGGTAGATGTGGAATCAATGTAGGATTATCATTTCTGAGGCTATTCTTGGCGGAAAGGCGGATCTCCCACATACGCCGTACAAAGAAATTCAAAATTCACCCGGGCAAAGGTTGACGTAAACTCCTACTTCGCTTTCCACACTTCATGTATATTGTCTAGACAACTGGGTGCCTAGAGGATTGTGGAAGCCAGCCTTTGTCAAAAATATTATACAAGGGGGCTGAGTTGACAAGTTTCTCGATCAAGTTTGCGCTTGTCCGGTCTGCCCTGCGGGTTTTGATATTACTTCACCGCTCCTAGAAATGTGATAGGGAGAGTTTCCACCCACTATCCCGCCATTTCTTACATGACAGCCTAGTAGTTGCCCTTTTTAACAAATACCCGGGTGAATGCGTGATGTGGGCAGTGCTGTAATTTTTATATTAACTTGATTTGGCCAGTTCAGCTTACTTTGCTTGTACGCTTCAATATCAATTGAATGAATGTCTACGGGCGTCTTTTATGGGATACATGCTATCTGAAAAGCCACTGGCTCTAGTAGCTTGAGTGAACGGGAGTTTTACGGCTAATAATGGGTGATTTCCGTGGTTGACATGTGTACGTCAATGTTGGTTGTTAGGCCGATGTAGAAACACCAATCATCGAAGGCACCCTGTTAAATGAGGCTGCCTATAAAGAGAGTGGGTCAGATAGACTGAGACAAAGGATAAGTTGAAAAAAAAGGTACTGTAATTAAAGTGATCTCGAGCACCCGGGTGTATGGGCTGGTGGTAGACGGCCGGCTGCCTCCGACCCCTATAAAGCCCACATTATTCATTTAAAAAGTCTGTAATCAAGCGTCAGCTTACATTGTACTATTGGAGGCCAATTATATACTTTGATTCCGCAAACTGAGCTTGGTTGTATTGAAATTGTCAGTAAAAAGGACTGGCTACAATATTGGAAGTTGTTTATACGTCACCAGGTAAGGGGTCTTATTCTCTACCACTGTCTTAAACTCATTGCTTTAAATCTATCAGGAGGTTCAATTCGCACCAGATTGAGTCAACGAATATCAGAGCCGCACTTCAGGAAATTCCTCCCGACCGGAGAACAAGGGCACGGGGAATTTCACTAGCCAAAACCCACGGCACTCAAAGGAAGACCCCCGCCATAGTAGCCTGATAATTGGCACTATGGAAACGCAACAGCGCTTGTTAGGGTCAGCTTCCCCGACGGGAGAATTTGTGCCTCAGGATATACAGAAACAAGCAAAGATTGATCAAAATACCCGACAGAAAAAAGTGTCAGCATGCAACCATGCACCGCGTTCCGAGTTGGGCAGATCCCACTCAGGTCCTACTGCTGGTTACAACACAATGGCTGCTGATCTCCAAGGGGCTCACGATAGCCCACAGTATCAGGCCCAGAGGTCACTCGAACACGACATGAGCAAGGTGGACTCTGCGGCTATTCCTCAGGAAGAAAACCAGCAAATGATTAGACAGTTGGAGACTAACCCCATCGCCGAGGAACATCTCATTCATGAAGTGAGAGAAATCTACGCCGGGCTGGTCATAGTGGAGAAAAAGTGCATCGAAGTGATCAGGAATCTCTCGCAAATGGCCCCAATAACGGAATTGTCACAGGATCAGTGGAAAACGGTCATCTCGCTACACCGAATGCTGCTCCACGAACATCATGACTTTTTTCTCACTTCACAGCATCCAGCAGCCAGTCCGGTCGTGAAGCACCTTGCTGAGAAGTATGCTATGCCTACTCGCATGTGGCGCTATGGGATTCATTCCTGCTTGGAACTGTTGCGCAAAAGACTGCCTGCCTCGCTAGATCACATGTTAGCCTTTATATACCTCTCGTATTCAATGATGACACTCCTTCTAGAGAGCGTCCCGCATTTTAGGGGAACCTGGATCGAGTGCCTAGGTGACCTAGCGCGGTATCGTATGGCAGTGGAAGATACCGATGTTGCGGACCGAGACATTTGGGCAGGGGTCTCGAAGTACTGGTACAATCAGGATACTGGTCAATGTCCTGAAATTGGTCGAATTCAGCACCATCTTGCCGTGTTGTCTCGTCCGGATACTTTGCAGCAGCTCTTCTACTGCACGAAAGCATTGATCAATGTGCGCCCATTTTCAGGTGCGCGGGAGAGCATGGTCCGGCTGTTCAATCCTATTTTGAGTGCACCGGCTGATAGACACACTCTGATCACTTCTTTTGTGGCTGCTCATGGTGCTCTTTTTATGCATATGCCAGTTGAGCAGTTTCTTGCTCGGTCGAAGTTCTTCCTTTCCAATCTGCGCCAGGAGGTTAGCCGGCTAGGCCGAGAGGGACAGCAAGGCGTCTTTATCACATCCTGTAATATCGCTGCGATCTTTCAGTATGGCGATAAAGATGGAGCCTTTGCTACAGAGTTCACTTACGATGGAAACACCACAGCAGATGCTTATGCTATCTCGAGGCAGTGGGCGGCTACTACGGCGCCCAATGGCCCAAATAACCACCCACACATCGACTTCTCATCCCAATTTGCATTCCGCGCGAGCTCTCTCGCTTTTCACACCTTGATAATAATCCTTGGCCAAGCCGGCGACCCGAACATGCTTCCAACCGTGCATGCCTCCATGGCGTTCGTGTGGTGCCTCACACTCCACCCAGCAGCTATCCAACGACTCGAGCCGCTAGTTCCATGGTCGATACTCGCAAACTACCTAAACACTTTACTCCGGCCCGACACTAATATTGCAACGATTGAAGATGAATCGTTCCCCCGAATCGACGACACAACCTCCCAACAGCTACCGGAGGACTTTTTGATTAGAGGACAAACTTGGAGCCGGCTTTATTACCCTGCGAAATTCTTCGATGAGACGGCTGTAGAGGATGACAGATCATTGATTGAGGAGCCATCAACAATGCTCCCTAGGAGACACAGATGCTTGTGGCTTGGAGTGCGGATTGCAACTGTCTGTCTTGGCTTGAGATTGTTTAAAGTGCACTCTTCGCTAACCATATCTTAATATCTAGTTCTCTCGCTGGATGACATACGACCAGACTCGACGGTTCACGTCTACCAGACTCGCACACGAATTTGCACCAATTTCTCAATCTACTGATCACCTCGGTTGAAATATTTAGCATCTTGTCCCTCGCTCGTCGATCAGGAGATGAAGGGAGTTTGAAATGTGGCCAGGGTAGCCACCCGGCTTTTTTTCGAGTTCCCCTAGGTGTGTGAGCGTGTGTGGCATGGAACATGCACTTGGTGGGGATGATTGGCTGGTGGAACCCTGGTGTTTTCTTTCCCCTGTTTGGATCAGTGTTCAAGAAACCACCTTGAACGCAAATCCTTCCCTTAGGCCGCTTCCGTACACATGTCCGAGAATGGACTTACTTTGTTTTCTCTTTTTTTTGTTTTGTTCATTTTTCGTTACTAGGCAGGAATCTTCATGAGTCGGCCACGACTACACGACAGATATCAGATATCAGATTCCTCTTGGACAAAGCCCATCACCTGGACCATTTTTCCATGGACTCCCCACTTGAGGCTTCTACATCCTCCAAGGAGTGAATGTCTTTCCCTCTTTAGCCTTGGATCTATGATGCAAGGATTCCCTACTGTATACTGCCACCTTGCGTCTGCCTGTGGATTATTGAGGCCTCGGAAATGTTCCCATGGGCTGGACTATGCGCTTGCACTGACATTGAGGTTGTAATCTTGGAATTACGAGGATTACATCAATAACACAACGGGGTTCGATTACTGCGGAATGTGATAGGCCTGGAAGGCCTTCTTTTCAGAACGACCAGAATGGTTAACCCTGGAGCATTCGCAAGGAAATCAGTCCTTGGCTTCTTGCGAGGATATACAGATGCGTTGACATGGGAGGCCATTGCAAGGATAAATAGCTCTACAATTGAGCTTCAAAAGAAGTAAGAAGACACAAGAGAAGAAAGGATCTTGGAAAACACATGCGAATAGGAAGATTTTTATAAGAATTCTTGGATGTTGTTCGTAGCTTTAGTTATCTCTTCCCTCTACTGTCCCGTGGAAAGAATTTAGAGTTGAACCGCATAACTATGCATAGACATACAGGCTTCGAGTATACGAGCTGGCATGTTGGCGGATATATTTCTCTCCATGGTTGCATCATCAGCCATATATATAGCAAGAGCTTCGGATGGCTTCGCGTATCCTTGTGCTTGTACAGTACTACCACGTTGGGTTCGACTTTCACTCTGTTTTATGTCAATTGAGGCTTACTTTTTACCTCAAGTGGTAACAGGTCTATGGAGGCATACACGTAGACTAACAAATATCCACGAATAAACATCTTCAAAAATTCAGTAGTTTCTACTATTAAACGTAGCTCCTCCTGACAGCATAGATGCAAATGTCACATGAGGGTAATGGCTCGTGCTTGATCTTCGACCGAGTGTATTTTCTTGCCGGTGAAGTCGGAGGTACCATGGTGCCTGTTAACGAGGCACGGCGGTGATATTGGCACCCTAGTCGCCTCCGTGAGGCTAGAGGCTCTGTGGGGGAATAGAGAAGGGAGCGGTGACGAAGAAGGAAGAAATGGATGGCTGGGTATATATAAGCTATACCTGATTGATTGCTAGGTATGCCTTATGCTCAGATGTGAATTCAGAGCGTCTCATTTTATTTGTCACATTGATTGTGATGAAGGGCCCGGCGGTGGATTTCTCCCCACGGTTCTCGCTTCGGCTTTTGGTCGGTGGTATCGAGCGGTGCGTCTGTCATAACATCTTGTCGGGGTGCTAATTGTGAGACAGATGAAAATTGGTTGTAAAATGAAGCTATGCCCGGCTTATAGAGACGAAGCCGGTCCCGAAGTCCGTCGACTCGTTACTTTAAGAGAGAGAGAGAAATGAACATGTAAACAGAGGGTCTCTAAACGAGATGATTTATGTCTCTACTCCTAAGAAGGAAGTACTTTTGCAGCTATATATAGTGTGTTGAGATTCATGGCATCTCCAGGCATCTCCAGGCATGAAATGCCTACTTCGCCAAGCATGAAGCTCATGATCAGCATTGACCTACCATGTAGAGTATAGTTCAGGAGAAATGCTTCTCATTAAATAGGATCCCTCTCTCATGAGAGAGAGATCAGACCTAAACCACCTCGTTGGCCTTGACATACATGCTTCCGTAGCGTCATTCATCGTGTAATTTCAACATAGTGGGAACGTATATCAAGTGAAGTAATCAGATGCCTTAGGTATTGGTACCATGAACCTCCTATATTACAATAACGCGTTCCTGAGCCTTTGGCAATATATTTACGAGTTAAGTCCAGCTTGTGCGACATTCTACGGTGTTTATCTGCAAAGAGCACCTTCTTCACTGTGAATATGTACCGCATACGCGTGAAGCGTAGCATTCGGGAGAAGGATTTGGTATTTCAAATTCTTTTAGGGCTTCGGTACTGTAGCGGCGCTCTTCGGCAACCCAGCGACTAAAAGAGAAGAGTCTGAGAGTGCCTCCCATTAGAGCATTAATGTTGGAAGCCCCTTTTGTCTTTCAATATGAAATAAAAGATCCACAATCTATAGACAAATGCGATGAAAACTAGACTTACATCCATTTTATATTTTTTCTTTTCGAAAGAAAAGAAAACAGATTTCGACCGGGGGAACAAGGATGAAGTAGGGGACCTATGTGGAAACAATGGCCTACATATGTGCTTCTAGATAAAACAAAGGCCAACGGGTACTTCATAAAAAAAATTGCCGTTTGAAGACATATAGAAAGGAAATATCCACGCGAAATACATGACTATCTGTTCGGCGAAGTGTGGTGATGGCGTAGTCCTAAAGTGGGGTTGTGATCTAGAGCAGGACAAAGGGAATGAAGGGGCCAATGCAGGTTACCATAGGCGCTTTCTGTCCAAGCGGCGACCCCAGATCCTTAGGTCGCAATTTTGGAATACCTCAGAGCTGTCGTTCACGCTCCAACCACGTGCTATGAATACTTTCTACAAGTGCGCCTTTATCTGCTGCATGTATCTAGCTACCGGAGATGACCGCATTTGAAGTGCTAGGCGTATCTATGTGCAGAAAGATATGGTAGCGCCAACTGATGTAGGCAAAGATCGAATTTAACTAAGACCAACTCTGGATGTCAAGCATTGTGCTTACGAATACTGCATGAAACCGGGTCTATAGATGATCCGATGCTTCTCGCCAAGCATCGGAAATACAGTAGGGCCGGAACCCGGAAATGTAATTAAATAGCAGGAAAAAGGGGTGTTGCAATGATATCTCCAATTGGACGAATACATCTCAGGTCGTGACACCGGATACCGATCGTGGCCTCCGTTTCCCAAACGGGCTTCTTACACGGACACGTACGCACATAACATTGTTTAGAAAATTAGCCAATACGCCTGCGATCAAAATGAACTGGCTTGATTGGAACTGCGACTGCGCAGTGCTTCTCCATGGTGCATGCATATATTTCCATGTAGTGTGGTCCACTTCCTGAAGCCTACCTCTCTCTGCTTTATCTCCGCCAATGGTTCGACTCAGGTACCTAGCTATATTTTGGTATTTTGGTGGTTGTTCTGCCGGTCGGACTTCGATCTAACCAGTGGCCACGTCTCAATTTTCCCACGCACAAGGTTCCAGAGATAATACGCAAGAGGAATTCTCCTGCCGACTCGACACCTCTAGAATGGTCAAGTGGCATAGGCATCGGAGTCCCCGAAGCTCTTCGATATGATGCTAGACGAGAACTAACTTAGGGAGACTACTTTTTCTGGGTAGGCACGTATTCTATACGTGTCCTCGGAGGTGGGTGCGGGGTGGAGCCGATTTGAAATACGGTGGTTCTGCCACGCTTCTCTCCCTACCTACCTATATGGATGAAATCGCCGCGTCTACGGTCCGTACTTCAGGTACAACTTCTTTTGTGCAAATAGGGCTAATGTCCCGTGGATAAGTAGCGTCTGGTCGGATATTTCCTCCCTTTATTTGTTTTACTACCTATGCGCTTTTCCTTTCTTTTTCTCTTTTCCGTGTGAGACAATTTGGGCGATGTACCCCAGGAATTCGCCCTAGATCTTCGGCTGGTTTCTAGACAGGAAATGCCAGTACTGCTCAGCATGACGCAGCCAATGAGGTTGTATAAGCGAAGGTGTGCAGCTCGCCAGGCGGTCTAGGTCGCGAAGGTTCGCATTTGGACAGCGTCGGAGACCGAGGCGATAACCCCCTCCACCAGTTTCACCACCGAGTCCCCGAGGAGTCCCTTCCGCATTTTTCAGCCCTCTTTCATCACGAAATTACCTCGCTGCCGGACACCTGGGGCCTTGAAGCGGGACGGGGAGCAGATCGATGCCTCGCGGAAAAGCTCGAAAGCGTTTTCCGCCGCGTATTGAAGCCGCTGGAAGGTCAGACAGAAGCGAAAGAATGCACCACCTTGATGGCCCCGCCCCATTGCCAAACCTCGCCCAAAGAATACGTCAAGGTACGCTGCCATAAGCGAGGGGCTTCTACGGAGGCGGCCCGGAGGTCGTTCCTCACCGAAGTGCGCACTGCCGAGCGCATGTCCCGGAGAATCATCGTTGAGATCGGCCATTGATGCGGTGAAATATTTCCTTGAGCTTTGCAAGATTATCACCTGGCGTAAGCTCGCCCCACGTCTCTGGCTCCTCCCCTGCTTGTTGACGAAATCCCTATTGAGAGAAGCATGGAGAAAGCTGAAGCCCTCCACTCTGCGGTCCCAGGTAGATATAACGCGACCTATGATTGTAGTATGACCCCTGTCACGGTTCTTAGGTACTGGACATCTACCATGGGGTCAGACCGTCTCCATGGTGGCCGAGGCCTGCACCATCGCGGTGGCCTTGGCACCCATAGGGTCACGGTACGGCCCGGTCACTTGTGGTACCACCCAGGAATCGTCCCTATCCCCGCTTCTGCCCTCCTCTATATAGCCGAACTACTACTGCAGGGCCCCGGAGACGATCGAGGTGATGCACGTCACCCGACGGGGCGAGATCCACGGACCTGTGGTGGTCCACGACGTCCTTACCATTCACCCGATCACCACAGCAGAGAGGGCAGGCTATCAGCCAGCCTCTACGGTGGCTTGGTGTCCACTTCGACAGGAAGATGCGTCTAGGTTCGGGCGGTCAAGGCCCGCGCATCCCCACAAATGGCTCGCTGGCCTCATCCCTCCTTTTCGGCACGGAGGGATGTGAACCGACTGTCAGTCTTGCCTCACGTACAGCAAGCTTCTCTTTGGTGAACTGCTTCCTACAACGAAAAAGAAACAGATCGCCGACGAGCACCACCTTTTTACGCTACTATGTGAGTCGCTTGTTCCACGTCGGAGAGATAGTGATATCTTGCAACGGACCTGCTCATTTGATGCTCAAACTAAGAACCTCCTTGATGTACTTCATTCAGCAAGCTATTGAGGAAAGCCGGCCGCTCACTCTCCCCGATTTGCAACAACAGTGGCATCTCTACAGCCCTCGGGAAGCACCCCCCCCCCCCCCCCCACTATCGATCCGCTCCTCCGTATCTGAGAGCCACGTATGCCGGGGCATCCAAAGGCTCGATAAAGGGCCCAGCCGCATCCTAGGCGTCGTCTCAGTCCACCCATGGGACTCGTCCGGTTTTGAGATCATGCAGACACAGGAGAGAGAGGCGGAGCGACGGTATGGCGATTACAAGCCCTGTAGCCGTCAGAAGCACCTACACAGCGCTTGGGAACAGTCTTATGGGCTGCGGCATCGGCGACAAGACTGGAGGTGTAATTTCTCGGGATGTTGACGGTCCATGTTTTCACAACTTGATGAGTTGCTACCATTGCATAGCATTCCGGCGGTCCGTCAATTGAATTGAGTCCCGTGCCAATCCACTCCATTCTACTAGAAATGCGGATTGCATAGCCAGCTTTCCAACTTGCTTATCTTTCTTATCTCATTTAATTGCACTGAAGCGCTCAATTGGCTTTCTCACTCTCCGCACTTCGGACGAGGTCTCTCTCAGCCCTGACTGGTGGAGTATAAACCCTCATTTCATGGACCTCTTCTTCCTCATCTTCTTTCTCTCCTCATCTCCCCTTCTCAGGCGGCATTCTCTCCCTCGGTGAGGTATCAATTGCATGCCCGCTGTGGGGAATCAAGAGTCTGTTGGCCTGACTGAATTCTCCGCAGGAGAAGCCATCTCAGCGAGAGAGCCCCGCTGTCCTACGGTGGGCTGTTCAGCCCTTCTCAGGTGTTGGGGGTGGGGGATGATCAACTCACCTGCCAAGCATATGGCCTTCCGCCGCTCCTCGTCCATGGCAGGCCCCAACTCGCCCCACAACATCATTGGAGCGGCTTGGGCCGGGGCCTGCGAGATTCCCTCGGCCCGGAGCATCGAGTGGTCTTTACATCTGCTATCGGAAACAGTGCGTCGAGACCGCCCCATTGGGGTGTCGCAAAGCCCACGCGAACTCCCCAGGGCGGTCTCTACAGGCTAATTAACTGTGGCCTCACCACGCGTTGAGCTCTTTGCAACAAGATGGGCGGTAAGGCCATGGGGGCCTCTCTGACATCTACGCTCATGCGGGTTCCTGGTCTTCTTTGGCCATTGAAATGGCTCTTTTCCAGTCTAGTTGGATGTCAATTCAAATGGCCCCAGTGTCAAATATCTCCCATTGAACTCGTTAAAACCCATTGAGAAAGCTGGCTCTCGCATAGGAATTTTGCGCAACTGTCTGGGGCGTTGGGGCACCGCTATGTTGATCTCCCTTACCCTCAGCAAACGCCGATTTCGTACCTTCTGCGGTGCCAAATTTGAAGAACCAGAGGTCACGCATTGGAGCGCATTCCTTATACCTCAAATCAGCCCTGAGGTAGTAGCATTTCTTATGGCTCAATGCTCTGCAGTACAGACAACAGACATTCCTTGCCGTTTTGCTTATTTTTGCTCTCCAGGATTTTGCATTAGCTTCGGCGCTCACTCCCAGTAATGAATTTGTGAGTCTTTTTGCAGGTGCATTAACAATGTTACTAGCCGAATTATTTTTGTTGTTGGACTTGGTTTTGATGGCTGCGGCGCTCACTGGCGTCTTCTCTTAGAGAGGTCGGCATCTCCGAGAAGACGCTGATAGCGGGTAGATTCGAGGGAGGACCGACAGGCACCATCAAGGGTACAGAACAGCGAGATCGAGAACAGATCATCATGTTCACGCCCTTTCGGTTGTCCGATGAAGAATCTTGGTACACCATATCGCCAAGTTGTGATAGATGGTCACAGGGAGCAAAAGCCCAATATTTACTCAGAACTTACACGCCGTACCTGGTCAGAAATAGTGTAAATGCGTATAGTAAAAAGTATATGCCGAATAACAGCTCCAGCAGAGGGTCGACTAGTGAAATGGAGGTCATTTAGTAAATTTAGTAAAGCTCAATGGGATCATACGCAGATTCGAACCCGTGGAAACTCATGCACACAATTAAACACGTTACAATGTTACTCGACTATAGCGATAGCGATCGGAATCAATAGAAGCATTTTCATCCATGTATGCTATTTCTGCTATCTCATGAAACAGCAATTAGTGAAATTTTACAATTTGATATTGGTCATTAATATAGGATATTCAACTAATAATAAACTATAAAAGTTAGATCTATAATAAACCATATACAGTCAACTCTCGCTTATACCACGGTGGGATATTGCACATTCTTGATAATAACACATCCCTTGCTTGGATGGCCCCTTCATTCCAGTTTTTTCCATATAAATTGACAGAATATAACACATTTTGTTTTACCACACTTTCTTTACCTCAGTTCCCTCAGACCACAGCCAATGATGAGACAGAATTCTGCCGATTCTGCCACGCTAACCCGATTGGGTTGCTTCATCAGCCCGTGGTCTGAGCCGGGAACCCCTTCCGTACATACAAGTTTCCGGTTCTCGCCAGCAACCCCACCATTTGGTCAAGGTGTGTTTTCTCAAGCTCTCTGAGAGTATTTCTGACATTGTTAGAAAGAATGGCATCACCGGATTTGCCCAATATGATCTCTAGATCGCGAAAGCGTGCTCGACAATCCTCCCTCGAGTGGCCTTCTTCCAGTTCACCATTACAAGAACCACCTGCGTCTACTCAGCGATCTCGTTATATCTCAGGATTGCAGCCACGCGAACGTGTCGATATGGTACTGGCTGAGCTTAATGATAAGCACCGGTGGACAATCAAGGATCTTCTTTACCACATGGTGCATGCACAACCAGTCAAAAAAAATGGATATTCGACATCGTATCGAGCACAGAAATTGTCTGACGCTATATATGGGCAACCTGAAATTATTGAGCGGCTAGGTAGTGTCTCAAAAGACATATATGCCACTGGTGCATCCGATCTCGTGTCTCGGATACAGACCGAGATTCGAGGGCTGATTAACGGAGATATACTCGGCGAGTTCCAGTCCAATGTGGACCCTAAAGATATGGACATCTCTAGCTTGGCTACGCAGATGCAGAGGAAAGCTCCAGAGCTCTGTGGACTGCTCGTTAGCATCATGACACCTCCAGGAAACCATCGCGATACACCCAAGATCCACCAGGGCAGCATTGTGATGGTCTGTTCAATTCTGGCTTGCGCTTTTGCACCACGGAAAAGCAACAACTTCCCGATGTTGATCGGCTTGTATTTACATGCAATGGGTGTCAAGCGACGTGTGATTAGCTTTCTGGCTGGCCTGGGGATAAACTCAGCATACCAGACTATCATGGACAGACGGAAGGAACTTGCAGAACTAGGACAGGTACTATAACCGCATTTACCGGAGAATAACATGTTCTGGCTGACTTCTTACCCCAAGATGTGTACAGAAACAATTGAAACAGAATGCCCAGGCTTCTCGCAGGAATCTCATTGTGGCATGGGATAACTTTGACTACAGCCAGACTGTTCGACATCAAACTATTCGTGATCCATCAGAGCATATCTCCGCCACCACTGGCAAGCTTTGTATCGGTCAGTCCATCCCTGCAGGAGGGCTTCTCCGATCTATGTTCCATCCAGAGGTTACACTGAGTCCTCATGATATCTACATGGCACCAGGCAATCAGGATGATGAGATCTTCCATCAATGTCAGCGCCATTGGATTGCAGAGGCCATTCGCTATACTCATCGGGAGGCAGTAGAGAAACTATTTACTGCGGAAGCGTGCGTCAAACCAGGCCAGATGAAACCGCGAGCCCATCTTATTGACTGGCCTGAATTCCCAGCAGTTAAACGACTGCAAGCGCAGAAGACAATTCACTACAGCCTTGGGCCAATGTTATACAACGAAGGCACGACAGAGGGGACATACAAGGTCATTCAGAATGTCTTTCTGGAGCAACTGGGGGATGATGATGATACAGACCTTGATGGGCTTTTACAACTGGTTTATGGAGATCAGAAAACAGTGTCACTCCTTCGTGCCGTCAAAAAAGAACGTGCGGAGGCTTCTCGTCTTTTCGATCGTTTCAGCTGGATATTGCCAATCCCCGGACTGTTCCACTGGCGTATGAACTACTTGGATATGATCTTTGAGCTCTATGCTGGGACAGACCACCCTACCGTTGAATCGACGATCCATCATAATAAGGTCTGTCTCGGTTGCGTACAGGGACACAAAAGTCCATTCCACCATAAAGAAGAGGTGGCTACTCGCTCATTTGACGCTCGCGTCACGGCCATGTTCTATCAGTTTGTCCCATTAACAGTCAATTTCGCGGATGCTAAAGATGTGGATGATTGGATTCAAAGCCTCGGAAGGGGTCAATTCCTGGACGTTGTGGATCAGATACGCCAGTCTCTGTTCCATTTTAAAGAGCAGCAGTCTAAGGTTCGTGAACGAGAAGGAGAACCAGTCGACTATGAGTTCTCAGCACATGCGAAATTCCTTCAGCAGATGGAGACTTACAAGTCCTTGAAGCTTGCCATCAAACTTGGTGACATTGGAATTATCCAGCGGATCTTTGCACAATGTTGTCTCCTCTTCCCTGGCACAAAGAAAACCCGATATTCTTTCCTCTCCTTGTATATGACATGGCTCACTCAAACCAAAGCAGCTGATCCCGAGCTGCAGACTGCCATTCTTGCCAACGGACTTGTGAATCTACGGGGTGCGGAGGACGGTTGGTTCGAAATTGATCGACTGAATGAGTTCTTCAATCTTCATATGAAGACACTCATGTCGACTCGACGGACCTCAAATCTGGACATCACTACCATGTTCCGTCGAACTGCTCTCACAGCCAGCTACTGTACTGATCTAAAGGAGCTTCTGGAGGCTACCTTTGGAGAATATAGCAATGGGCGACACCAAAATAAGGATGCTAGCCAGGATGTTCGTCATCTAGCTTATCAGATCTCGAAGTGCATCCAAAAGCAACCAAATGGTCGGACAAGAGGCTTTCAACCATGTGATATACTCACAGAAACAATTGGCGAAAAGCTCTTCAAAGCCGTACAGAACTTCAATAGCCTCGTCGTCAACGGACAGTGGGCACAAGAAGTTGATTTTAGCAAGATGACATCGACTCCTATTGCTGTTCTAGATGAGATTGAAGAGAATGACACATGACACTGAATAGCAGGTTGCTGCCGGGACAGCTTTAGCTATACTTCTCTTCATTCCATTGATAATACTCCCACGCTATATTATAAGGTGACTGACACACATTGATGGAATGCATCAGATGGATTGTTCATCATTCTCTACCAGACCTTAGAACCTAGGTCTTCTCCACCCTTCATCACGCGACGCCCATTTCCTGATACCACACCGAGGGCCTTGCGTTTGGGAACTGGAGTTGCCGAAGGAGGAGGCATGTCCATAAAAGCTTGGGATGGCGTGTTAATATCAACCCACGGAGAGATATTCCGAGATGGAGTTGGTTGACTGGTGCTTTCTGGCGTGACTGCAGAAGACCATGTGAGGTTGCTGCATTCACTCATTTGACTAGAGTCATTCGACACACGCTTCCTCTTTGCAGGGGTTTGAATAGTGGCCATAAAGGCTGCTTGATATGCATTCTTCAAGACATCCACAAGACCCTCAGCAAGCTGATTCGACAAAGCCCATATTCCCAATATTGTCTGAAGATCCTTTGCCTGGAAATATTCCCGCTCCGAATAGGTGGCATTTTCAATATATATCGCAAGATGGACATATTGTTCTTCTGCCAGTATGCTTGAGCAATCAGGTATGAACTTCACTCCGTTCAAAGCGCTTGAAAGGACCTCCTTGGACCAATATTTTAACTGGTTGATGATTATCTCGTCCATCTGTCCTGACCTCGGACCGTGCTCAGTATACAGATAACGAGTTGGATCATTGAGCTGATACTCAGGATTGCAGTTGCTGCAGCACCGGTCACGCCGAGGATTACATCTGAACTCTTCAGGTTCATTGAAGTA